AAGGACTTAGCTTTCCTTGGTCCGTCTGCTGTGCACCCTCCTGTCTGAACTAGTCCTCTAAAATCTGGACGAGGGGACGTCCCACACGCCCAGTGCTCACGTGTCTGTGACGGATGGAGGTTCTAATGACTGTCCTGCAAGAAGCCCGTAGTGCTTTCCATGCACGTCTCTCACCCTACTTTGAAAGTTCGCCCTTTTGCTCGGTGTACCTGTTACTCGCCTGTAAACACACAGCATTTTAGTCCACATGGTATTTAGAAAATCTACAATTAGCCAGGCAGTGAACTGCCCAGCAGAGAGCGGCCCCAATTAGATATACTTGTCTATCTTTATTTTTTGATGCTAGACATAGTGGATCCAAATTTAGCTCTTTCTAATTTCTAGATCTATTATGTTGATATTTCAGTCCCTTCTTCTAAAACTCCGTGGAGAATTACAGTATTTTGCAATAGATACGAAGAGATGGCCAAGCCCAAACCCACATGGAAGCACTTTATAACCTCTAAAACACACACCATCTGACCCAGATGAGTCTCAGCCCCTGGTGTGGGGCGTCAGTGTCCCAGGCCCGACTCTGGGTCCAGGCTGCCCCCCTCTCTCCCTCTGCCTGTTGGATAGTTAATGTCCTACAATACTCCTGTCACGTGGCTTAGGCTGGGAGAGTTAGTACAGACGTGTCCTAGCTGAAAATATTTTTCTTATACGTTGGATCTTGTTTTAAATATTGAGAGGCATTGATTATTTAGGAGAGCCTTGCAGTGAAATTTTTACATAGTGAAGAAGTGTTCTCTAAATTATCTGCCAATTTATTTATTTTCCACTATATTGGGTAAATCTGGAATTGGGTTTTCTGCCATTCCTGTTCTTCTCAGTCACTCGCTGGCTCCTGTGACCTTGGGCAAGTCCTTTGCTTTTCTGACTCTTAATTTTCTCTAAAATAAACTAGATTTAACACCACCTGCTCTGTCTCTGCCCTCAGCATACTGGGAAGATCAAGACGGGAAGTGCATGTGAAAGTGGTTTGCAACAACAATAAAAACAGCAAGAATAACAGCTAACATTTATTCAGAATTGATTATGCAGCAGGCACAACTTTATATGAATTAATTCATTTCATTCTTTTACCAACTCTAAGATGCAGATTTTGCTGTTGTCCCCAGTTTACAGACAGGAAACCACAACATAGAAGCTAAGAGACTTGCACATGTCACTTGGAATAAGAAGGTGGAATAAGCGACCACATACTTCCTGACAAAGATGCCAAGAGATAGTGTAGTACAGACATGATATCAGAGGAAAATCAATCACCGTGTTATAGATGCGGCAACTGAGGTCCAGCAAGGTTTCATGGCTTGCCCAATGTCAAGTATTATATATTTACAATATCAATAATTCAGAAGGTAATTAGAATATGTATAAGTATTCCATTTTTAAGTTGTGGGAAGTTGAGCAAAGCTGTTAGGAACCTGGGTGCTGGATTCAATGGCCAAGGTTTAAATTCCAGCACTACCACATTTTTAGCTATGTTACTGGGAAACTAAAAAGTAAACATGTGTGGACAATTATAAGGATAAATGCTTAAGAAATGTCAGCTACTATTGTTCTGTCCCACTCCCTGCAGCGGGGTCCCAGAGCACATCGAGAGCTCTAGAGAAAATTGTACAGCTCTCTTTGAAAGTGCTAATAGCATTAGGATTTGGAGAGGAGCAGGGAAAATGGGGTTCCGAGTGTGAACTTTTTGCTTAGTTTCTCTGACAAATCTATGAAAAGAATAAAGCCTATAAATAAGAATCAAATTTTCAGAAATACATTTTTATCCCATTTCCTGCCACTGTCTGCACAGGAGAGCCGAATGGTAGGAAGGAAAAGGCAAAGCTAACCCATCTCCTAAAGAAGCAAGGCCTTTAAAGGGGAAGAGGGCATAACCCCTGTGGGCCAGGCCACCTGTGCACCAGGCACTCACAGGCTATAGATTCCAAGCCAGACGGAACTGGGTCAACTCTGGCTCTTCCACTTATTGGCTGGGTGGCCTTGGGCAAAGTGATTCAATCTTTCTCTCAAGAGCTTCTGAACCCACAGCTGATGCAGCTCCTCCTCCAGGGTAGAATCACTGGGACTCAGGATGATGGCTGTCTCCTAAGGGTTTTGTGGGATTTATCACATTGGTTTCAAGGCCAAGTTCACAAGCCCTGAAAAGTACTTTCTGGAGTCTTTGAGGATCAGACTGACCAGTCAAAGTGGCCACAAGAGACATAGCATGGAAATTTGTTGGACAAATAGGGTCCCTCTTGGCATTGAACCAAATGAATATCAAGAGTCTAACTGAGCAGAGTCCCTCTACAGCATGTTGATCTAATATGCCATCAGGACAGGGCAGGTCTCTATCTCATCCACACCCCTTTCACTACCTGTTCTTTCCAGATGCACACCAGAGTTGAGCCCACAAGAGAGAGAGGAGCATTTCCATGTTTGAAGAGTCAGGCTGTGATTTGAAGGTACTATAAAGTACTGTTGGGCGGCTGGGGCTGGATTTCATGTATTTATCTTTCACAGGGCTACCTATGCAGCCTGAAACGTGTCAGCACTATGCCCCAGACACCCTTTCCCACAATGGCCCAACTTCTCCCAACCAGCTCTGCCTGCTGCCCAACTTCTAACTCAGCCCACAGGGCCTTTGGGCTGGAGGCTACCAAGCAAAGGTTACCACAGAACATCGGAGCTCTGACACAAAGAAATTCCCCCACTGCTGCACACCACTGCCTCTGTAGAACTGACTTTCCAGCGCTCCTCAGATTTCTTATCTACCAAAGCTTCTGTGACGCGAGGCTCTCCAGCAACCTTAGTCCAGAGCCATGGTTCAGGAGGCATTTCTAAGCTTGGGAGTTAAACTGCTCATGACAGTATGTTGTAATATGGGTAAAGCTGAAAAATGGTGCTGGGTATTTTGGAAGAGACTAGATGGAATATAATATATGCATCATCATTTACTAGAACTTAATCAGCACATTTATATCATGTTTTTCTTGCCTAGCATTTATACATGCACAAAAACAAAACAAAACCAATAGCTACTGTAACAATAATCCTTGCAACTCTCCTAGATAGAAGGTACTATCACCTTTAGCTAGTATTCGTTAGTTGCTCATCACTCATTTGTTGGGAGGAAGCATTTCACCCATTTACAGATAAGGAAACTGAGATCAGGAGGTTAGGGAACTTGCCTAAAATCACCCAGTACATATGGGATAAAACAGGGATTCAGATAGAGTTAGCTTGACTCTGGAATTTAGGCTCTTATTCACTGTGACCTTCTTTCTTCCCTGTTAAGTGAGGACACTGAGACCCATGGACACTACACAACATGCCTGAGGTTATATCCTTACTTATAGTTGACACAAAAGTGTAAACTACTGCTACAGTCTCTTTCAAACAGTAAGCTAATTCTAAACCTGAGTCCTGAGGACTTCTAACTCATCCAAAAGAGTTTTCAGACATTAAAATGCAACAAGAAGTACACAGACTCATAGTGGATTTTCCAGATGAAAAGCCCAATCAGATAGTGGCTGATGATATCTTTCAGTCTCAGATAACCCTGTGCCACTGACGCTGCTGAAGATGACTCTAAATGCAGGAATCTGTCTCCATGCCAGGAATTTTATCATAAGACCTGGCAGCTGATGTTTAAAGAGGCACTGGTGTCCCCAGAATCAGAAATGCCCTTTCAAAAATTTTCCACATTTGTTCTCGCTTCAAGCCATGATAAAGTGTTTCCAGTCCAATGCACCAGCTCAAATGAACCTATTTTCTGAAAGAGAAGCAGCTAGTTTGGATCCAGCACTTCAAAAGGTTCCCGATGCTACAGACCATAAAACAGACAAAGGTGAAGTGGGACTGTTTTAAGTAATTCACCCCAGAATCCCAGAGGACCTTAAACCTGAGCAGGAAGATTCCTGAGCTGCCAGTCATTGCCCAATGCCTCTCCATTTAACAGGGGTGCACTGAGCTGCAGGAACTTGTCTGAAGCCACCCAGCAAGTCCGCCAGCGGCAGAGCCAGGATCTGTAATGAGAGGTTGTACACCACCAGGTTGCAAACAGCCTCAGTCCGGGGACTGGCTCTTGCAGTGGACACTTTGCATCTTCACACTCGCCTGTGCCTACCTAGTGGTACAAACCCTTAGAATCATTTTTTTTTTTTATTTCAAACATTGTAAAGAAGCTTCTAATTTTCCAGGTTTCTCAGGGAATAATACTTTAGGGCCAAATCAAGAAATATTATGGTTAGTGTCATAAACCCTTAGACAAAAGTGCCCCTAAAATATATACACAAACTCCTTTTGATAGATGACAGAGGTCCAAAGAGACTTGGAGTGTGGGCGCATGGGAGAGAAATAATACTCGGCCCCCATAAGTACACAGAAAGGTAGGTAGGTCTCTGGCTTCCCCAAAGCAGACAACCTCAAACTCGCTTGACTGAAGGTAGAAAAGGGAGTGAAGAAAGTTGGGATCAAGTGAGCGACCGAAGACAGGAATTGGTCAACTCCTCTAGCCTGGAGCTCCCTCAGTTCCTGCTGTGAACAGATCTAGGGGCTTCCTCTTGGTTGGACTGGGTACGGAAGGGCAGGCGTGACACTCAGGGTCGCGTCACCAGCAGGACTGCCAGAGCCCGGAAAATGAGCTGGTGGCCAGGAACGGACTGCAACTCCAGCTAGGTCTCCCTCTGCGTCCTGGAGAGGCCCGCGCAGGGCAGAAGGATCCCCGGAGAGGGTGTGGGAGGTAGTTAAAGCAGCAGCTCCACGCGCCGGAGAAAGCTTTGCAAGTTTCAGGGAGAGCGAGAAACTTCGTTTTCTTTGAAACTAAGTTTTCAACCCACCAGAAAAAGTCTCCTTCGGCTCAGCGCCCCGGAGACCTGGCTTTCTCACTCGGCCGCAACCCTTCTGCCTCGGACTGGGAACAGGCTGCGAGGCGCAGCTGTCCCCGGACCTCCTTCCCCAGTTCTCACCTGCGATGTCCCAGAGCTGCAGGCGCACCACTGTCTCCGGGTCCCAGTGCAGCACCTTGAGCGCGAAGTCCACGCCGATGGTGGCCCGGTAGTGCGAGGAGAAGTTCTGGTGCACGTAGCGCTTAATGATGCTGGTCTTGCCCACGCCCAGGTCGCCGATTACCAGCAGCTTGTACAGGTGCTCCTTGTTCGCCGCCTGCATCCTGGCTGCCCGCCCGCCGCGCTGTGCTGTGCCTGCCGGCCGGGAAGCGCACCGGGCCTGGGCGGGAGAGACTCGCGGAGGGCGAGCGCGAGCGCAGCGCAGAGGCGGCGGTGGGGCGGGGGCGGGGGGCGGAACTCCTCCCCCGCCTCCCGCAGAAACGCCCAAACCGGCGCGCAGGGGTTAATCCTCTCTTCCACTCCGCGCCCTTGGGGCCTGGGAGAGCAGTGCGGACAGGAGCGACTCTTGGGACTGGAAAGTTGGGGGTTCACGTGTTAATGCCTGTTGTAGAGGTAATGCATACAACGCTTCACAGTTTCCAAAGAGTGTTTCTCGCCTGTGATCTTGGCCATAAAGCTGTGAGGGGTGGGTTTTATTTTCCGTGTGTGTGTGCCAGAAACCTGAGTGTCAAAAAAGTTAGGTGAATTGCAGGCGATGATAGTCAGTTAACAAGCCCGGCTGAAGACTGGGCTCCTGTCACGCTGTGGACAGAACCTGGAAGGACAGGCAGCCGATAACACAGTTTCAAGAGGCAGAGTTTGTGCAGGTCCTGCCTGCCCTGGATTTTGAGTCAGTGACCTTGGTAATGGTAATCCGGACCTATCAGCAGACTTGGATGGTGAACACTGAGCGATTTCACACCTATTCAACTGTGTCCAACAAGGAGGAAAAGTGGGCTGAAACACGGAGGGCATCCACGGTTTTTAGCCTCCTCCTCTCCTGTCCTGAAAGATTTGAGTTTCATTCAAAGACAAGTTAAACAACTGGTCAGATTATTTTAAGTGATAATAGCAAGCATTTATCCAGCACTTGCTATGTGTGAGTTGTTATACATACATCACTCAATCATCCCAGCAGTCTTATAAATAGAAACCATTATTCCCCACATTTAATAAACAAGGAAACCAGGGCATTTTTTATTTTATCTTATTATTTTTTGAAATTTATTTATTTATTTATTTTACAGATGTTTCTCCTTTACCCCCACTGATTCCCCTCCTCCTCCCTCCCTGCCCTGTCCCCAGCTTTGTTGTCCATGTCCATTGGTTATGCATACATGCATATGAGTTCTGTGGTTTCTCTCTCCAAGCCCCCTCTTCTGGGGATTGTCAGTCTGTACCCCGTTTCCACGTCTCTGAGACTACCCCATTCCTCAGACTGTTATGTTCATTATATTCCACAATAAGTGAGATCATATGAAACTTGTGTTTCTCTGTTTGGCTTGTTTTGCTTAGCAAAATACTTTCCAGGTCCCTCCGTGTCGTCACAAAGGATAAGAGATCGTTCTTTCTTACAGCTGCGTAGTACTCCATTGTGTATATGTAACACTGCTTTTTTATCCATTCGTCTACTGATGGACCCTTGAGCTGTTTCCAGATCTTAGCTATTGTAAATAGTGCTGCTACAAACATGGGGGTACATGTACTCTTCCTGATTGGTGTTTCAGACTTCTTAGGGTATATTCCTAGAAGTGGGATCACTGGGTCACGTGGCAATTCAATTTTTAATTTTTTGAGGTAACACGATATTGTTTTCCATAGTGGCTATACCAGTGTGCATTCCCACCAGCAGTGCACTAGAGTCCCCTTTTCTCCACACTCTCGCCAACACTTGTTTGATGATTTGTTGATGGTAGCCATTCTGACAGGTGTGAGGTGATACTTCATTGTTGTTTTAATTTGCATCTCCCTGATGATTAGTGATGTTGAGCATTTCTTCATATGTCTCTTAGCCATTTGTATGTACTGTTTGGAGAGGTGTCTAGTTTGGTCCTCTGCCCACTTTTTACTTGGGTTCTTTGTCTTCCTTTCGTTGAGTTGTATGAGCACTCTATATATATTGGAAATTAACCCCTTATCTGATATATCATTGGCAATTATGCACCCCCTATAGTGGGTAGCCTTTCCATTTTGATGATTGTATCTTTTGCTGTGCAGAAGCTTTTGAGTTTGATGCAGTCCCATGTGTTCATTTTCTTTTTGTTTCTTTTGCTTTAGGTGATGTATCAGTGAAAGTTCTGCTGCGTATGATGTCTGAAATTCTGAAATTTTGGTTTTTGTTGTTTTTTTTTTTATCCTCCCCCAAGGACATTTTTCTATTTTTTGTTCAGACAGAGTGGGAGGGACAGAGAGGAAGAGAGAGAGAGAGAGAAACATCGACGTGAAAGGGACACATCGAGTGGCTGCCACCCGCACAACCAACCAGGGCCAGGGACAAACTGCAACTAAGGTACACGGCCTTAAAAGGAACCAAACCCTGGTCTCTCTGGACCTCAGGCTGACGCTCTAACCATTGAGCAAACACGGCCAGAGCTAATGTCTGAAATTTTGTTGCCTACATTTTCTTCTAGGATTTTTATGGATTCATGTGTCACATTTAAGTTTTTTATCCATTTTGAGTTTATTCTTCTGTATGGTGTGAGTTGATGGTCTAGTTTCATTTTTTTGCATGTAATTGTCCAATTTTCCCAACACCATTTGTTAAAGAGGCTGCCTTTACTCCACTGTATGCTCTTGCCACCTTTGTCGAATATTAATGAAGCATATTGTCTTGGGTCCATTTCTAGGTTTTCTATTTTGTTCCATTGATCTATCTGCCTGTTCTTGTGCCAATACCAGGCTGTTTTGTTACAGTGGCTTAGTAGTATAACCTGAAATCTGGTAATGTGATCCCTTCAATTTTGTTCTTCTTTTTCAAGACTGCTATGGCTATTCGGGGTCTTTTTTGGTTCCATATGAACTTTTGAAGTATTTGTTCTAGTTCTGTGAAGTATGTCGTTGGTATATTGATTGGGATTGCATTGAATCTATAGATTGCTTTGGGTAGTATGGACATTTTAATGATGTTAATTCTTCCAATCCATGAACAAAGTATGTGCTTCCACTTTTTATATCCTCCTCTATTTCTTTTTTCAATGACCTGTAGTTTTCTGCAAATAGGTCCTTTATTTCTTTGGTTAAGTTTATTCCTAGGTATCTTAAAATTTTGCTGCGATGGTAAAGGGGTTGTTTTCTTAGTTTCTCTTTCTGTGAGATCATTATTGGTGTATAAGAATGCCCTTGATTTCTTGACGTTAATTTTGTATCCTGCTACTTTGCCAAATTCATTTATTAAGTCTAGTAAATTTTTGATGGAGTCTTTGGGGTTTTCTACGTACAGTATCATGTCATCGCAAATAATGACAGATTTAATTCCTCCTTTCCCATTTGGATCCCTTTTATTTTTTCTTCCTTTCTGATTGCTGTGGCTAATACTCCCAGTACTATGTTAAATAAGAGTGGCGAAAGTGGGCATCCTTGTCTTGTTCCTGTTCTGAAGGGAAATGCTTTTAATTTTTGCCCATTGCGTATGATGTTGGCTGTAGGTCTTTCATATATAGCCTTTATTATGTTGAGATATGATCCCTCTTGTCCCAGATTGCTGAGCATTTCTATCAGAAATGGGTGCTGGATGTTGTCTAATGGTTTTTCAGTGTCTCTTGATATGATCGTATGATTTTTATCTTTCATTTTTTTTATGTGGTGTATCACATGTATTTATTTGTGAATATTGTACCAGCCTTGCATCCCTGGTATGCATCCCACTTGGTCATGGTGAGTAATTTTTTTGATGGATTGCTGGATTTGATGTGCTAGTATTTTGTTCAGGATTTTGGCATCTATGTTCATCAGCGATATTGGCCTGTAGTTTTCTTTCTTTGTAGTGTCCTTTCCTGGTTTTGAAATTAGAATTATGCTAGCTTCATAAAACAATTTTGCAAGTCCTCTTCTTGAATTTTTGGAAATTGTTTGAGGAGTTTGGGTATTAGTTCTTCTTTGAATGTTTGGTAAAATTCCCCCTTGAAGCTGTCCAGGCCTGGGCTTTTGTTTGCTGGGAGAGTCTTGATTACATCTTCAGTTTCTTTTATTGTTATTGGTCTATTCCAGTTTTCTATCTCTTCCCGGTACAGTTTTGGGAGACTGTGTTTCTAGAAATTTATCCATTTCACTTAGATTGTCAAATTTGTTGGCCTATAATTGTTCACAATATTTGTTAACAATCCTTTATATTTCTATGGTGTCAGTTATTATTAGTCCTCTTTCATTTCTTTTTTTTTTTTTTAATTTTTTTTTTATCCTCACCCGAGGATATTTTTCCATTTTTTGTACAGATAGAGTGGGAGGGAGAGAGAGGAAGGGAGAGAGAGAGAGAAACATTGACGTGAAGGGACACATCGAGTGGCTGCCACCCGCATGACCAACCAGGGCCGGGGACAAACTGCAACCGAAGTACGTGCCCTTAGCGGGAACTGAACCCGGGTCTCTCCGGACCGCAGGCCGACGCTCTAACCGCTGAGCCAAACTGGCCAGGGCTCCTCTTTCATTTCTGATTTTGTTTATTTGGATTCTTACTCTTTGTTTCTTGGTGAGTCTAGCTAAGGGTCCATTAATCTTGTTTATCTTACAAAGAACCAGCTCTTTGTTTTATTGATCCTTTGAATTGTTTTCTGGTCTCCATGTCATTTATTTCTGCTCTCATCTTTACCATTTTCTTCCTTCTACTTGCTCTGTGGTTTGCTATCTGTTTACTTTCTAGTTCTTTACGTTGTGAGGTTAGGTAGTCTATTAGAAATTTTTCTTGCTTCTTGAGGTAGGCCTGTAGTGCTATGAAATTCCCTCTCAGAACTGCTTTCGCTGCATCCCATAGATTTTGTGTTGTTGTGTGTTCATTTTCATTGGTTTCCAGGAAGTTTTTAATTTCTTCCTTGATCTCCTCGGTGACCCATTCATTGTTTAATAACATGCTATTTAGTCTCCATGTTTTCAAATGTCTTTGCATGTTCTCATTGCAATTGATTTCTAGTTGCATGCCATTGTGATAATGAGAAGATGCTTGATATGATTTCAATTTTCTTGAACTTGTAGAGATTTAGTTTTTTCCCTATCATGTGGTCTATCTTTGAGGATGTCCCATGTGCCTTTAATAAGAATGTAAATACTGTGGTTTTGGTGTGTAATTCTCTGTAGATATCCATTAAAGCCATTTGATCTAGCGCTTCATTTATAGTCTCTGTTTCCTTG